CACTTTTAGATAATTCTTGATCTTCTGACTGTTTGAACAAAGGGCAATATGATGGTCTATGATGGTTGGTTCACGATGGCTCTGTGGCTGTGTAATACTAATAAATCCTGTTTAACACCTGCAGCTTATTTATAGTACGGACGTCTCACTGACTGAAGCTGAAGTTGTTTGAGTGCAAAAATTGTGTTTGACCCGATGAGGGTCTAAAAGTGAGGATATTCTGGCCTCAGGTGCTTCCATTTTAAATCTCTCTCTCAAGTCCCTCAACTGTATCACAGGGCAACACTAACTCACTGGAGCGCCCTTTAATTATTTACTGTAACGTAAAGGGGAGCACCACCTAAATTAAGAATTCCAATGTTATTTCCATGGTATTGGAAAGTTCAATCAATATTTGTGAACATATACTGTAGCATGTGAGCTACTCTCTCTTAAAGCCAGAAACCAGAGATGTTCATCTCAAACTTGTGATGTCATCAAGTATAAAGTCTGGAGCTGTTCCACAGACAATGAATGAAAGACTGATTTTGTGGACCCACAGTATGTTTGTTTTTGTTTTTCTACCAAAATGAGCTTTATTCTATTGTAGTGTTCTCATTTCTGAAACAGAAAATGTTCCCATATACTCAGAATATTCCCGAGTGCTCTCAGTGTCACCTAGAACATCTTTCACCATTCAATGTCTATGGAGCAGCTCCAGACTTTATACTTGATGACATCACACATTTGAGTTTTAGCACTCTAGTTATTGGATTTGGGTGAGAGTTGTTCATGTTTACCAATATTTGATATTTATAAATGTGTTGACAAAAACCGAGACAGAGTTCAAGTAATCAAAAATAGTCCGCTGCAGAGTAGCCACCTTTTACTAAAATATATTAATGGATGCTTATTTAGATCTATTAGTAATATTGATAGGCTAGATTCAATTGAAAATGCTGTGTTACCTTTATTATGAGGCTCAAATATGTTTTGCAGCTCCAGACAGATTTTTCTTGTTTTTTTTTCTTGGCCAAACTGGCTCTTTTGATAGTAAAGGTTGCCAACCCCTGTGCTAGGTGAAGATCCCCTGTACTCCCAACAGTTCATAGATACTGGGCCCCTTGACTACTGTCATTTTGCAAAAATGGCCCCCTAGCAATCCAAGTTTAGTAACCCTGTAAATATTCTGTCAACAGTTGACCGTCTTTCTACAACCGACTTTTTCTAGGCTTCTGTCGTAGCAGATATCAGCAGATGTGAGCTGAGACTTGGCGGCAGCAACCTGTGATTATAAGCGTGACATTTATGTACACATTTACAGATTTATCTACAGTTTCAAGAGTCAGCACACTTGCAAATCTAAGTACAGATTTTGAGATTTCTTTTTACACATTTCCTAATCTGACCGTGCACAAATTAATCCTGAGTATGCATTTACAGATCCCTGCACACAGTCATAAATCTGTTTGCACATTAGAGGTTCTTTTACTCATTTGGAATTTTAATTAAACACACATGGGTCGAGATGCTGTTGCAAAACTCCACACATTCGCAAATAGTTCTGCTATAATTTTGGCCCTGTGAATTCTCAAGCAAAAATACCATGACAACTTTCTGTGGTTATTTGTCTTTACATGACGGTGAACTGTTGGTCTGAGCTTAACAAGCATTGTGAGAAAGTCACCTGATGGTGAGTTTCAAACAATTGTCTGACTTTTACAAACTTAACAGTAAACTGAAGAAATGTTTCTTCAAAAACAGAAAACATTCATTTGTAGCCCCAACACATATACATTACCCCTGCTGCTAAAATACTTAAGGTGTGAGTTGTAATTTAAATGCTGAATATATTTGTGTCAGGCTTCATGATAGATGTGAGCTACTGTTTAAAGTACACTCCATAAACTCATCACTGAAACTCATCACCCTCTGCTGCTGACAGTCTGCATGTAAGAGCAACAAACCCCAGTTTCTAACATCCACCAGTTCAACACAGCTTGAAATCATACTCTGAAAGTTTCATCAGAAAACCTTCAGACTAAAAAGGTGCCAAAAATGCACCACATTCATCTCAGTCTATTCTTGTTATGGCCTCAAACTTCTAAGGGTCTCATGACAGATTATTTTTGCTTATCAACACTGGCCTGCCAGTGTGTATGACACAGGATCGACCGATTACACGAGGACAGAGAGGAAAACACCGAGGGAAGATCTGGATTTAAAGTTGAGTCTCAGATTAAGCTTTACTATGACAATGAACTCTTCAGGATGATATCCTTTTTCCTAACAAGAGCTTTCAACATGTGATGGCAGTAAAGGTATGGTTGAAATAATCAATCACATAAGCAAGTTGCAGCAAGTTAGTTAAAACATTAGATATCTGCATGGCTTTGATGTAATAATAAATATGATCTTGCTTCAACATTGACTTAAAAAAAATTACAAATCACACATATGATGGTTAATCAAATTTTTTTATTAACAACCACAAACTGAGTCAGATTTAGCGTTTTCCACCGACGCGGGGAGCGCTGATCTTCATGGGCTTAGCGATCTTGGGTTTCTGTGCTGTCTTGGCAGACGTCTACAGGAGGACAAAAACATTAAGTTCAGTTACATATTACCGTAATACACAGTTGAAGCAGGCAATAAAGTTAGTCATTAATCCAGTGAACACTGAGGAGCAGGCAGCTGAAAGCCAAGCTCCTTCACAGTGTGCAGTTTTTATTTTTTTAACCTTGTCACAACATAAGCTTTTTGTTTGTACAAAAATGGTACTCTGAATTTTAATATTCACAACATGTCTGCCATATAGTCTCCCAGCTTTGATATTAGTGAAGAGAAAGATCTATAAAACTAAACACTACCACTCCTGTAAGACTTGAGATCTTACCTTTGCACTTGGAGCAGCGGGCTTCTTGGCTGCCTGCTTTGCCTTCTTGGCCTCCTTGGCAGCTCTGAGAGGAAACAGAGAAACAATCAGCCAAACTAAACAAGCAGCAGAGATTGATATGGATAAAACACTCAGTCATCTTGTATAATCTTATGTGACAAAAAATATCTGGAGGGGAAAAAGACAACTGAGAAAGAGTTAATGGATAAAATAACCACACAGTAATGAGCCTGCAGCTGATAAAGACAATGAAATCTGTCAAATCAACGTAAGTACATCACGTTGATGCAAACATTTTTTTTAGAGGTTTATTTGACCCATAAAGTAGTCCTGCTCTTTGATTTGCACATTTGACTTAATACACCTACAGATATTTAAGGATTATGTACCTCGGTATAAAAAGGTACAGTTAATAATAGGCTTGGGCCGAATCATGGTATTAAAATATACCAGGGTCTTTATCAAATCCTGACAATAAGATTTTCGAAACCCTCCTCCTATACACATGGATACGCTGTATTCAGGTGATTTAGTACACGCAACCACAGTCTTTACTGGTGGAACAGGCATCTGGGCTGAGAAAGATGGTAATGGGACCGAAAGCCGGTCAGCGATGGCCAAGCGAGACCATGAGGAAAAACAGCATATTTTCACATATAGCACATTAACTTAAGGGTTCATCTGACCAAACCAGAGCTGGTGATTGCTGGAACAACGGAAAGACTTACCAAAATGATTTTGGTGAGTGGCCCAACATTTATTATTTCTCCTAAAATTTCCACTTGTATCTATCGGGGTCCTACTAGGAACAACATTTAGTCCTACCAATTTTCTCTAGACTGTCCCCCTTGCTATGTCGACCGCAGTCAGCAGGTCTTTTTTTCCCCACCCCTGCAGTAATTTTTTCAACATTGATGGTAGTGGCCATATGTTCTTGGGCCCCAGAATTGCCTGGTGGCAAGTCTGAACCTGTAGACTATGTAGATGTATAACTCTTCATTTTATTCACCACCCATTTTAAATAGTGATTGATGACAGTCAAGTTTTCAAATGCTGCAACCCACATTAACATATTGGTCGAGACTAAAATGAACCCAAGTGATGTTTTTCTGAATCTGATTTAATTACTGAAAAAAGGCGCTGCAAGATTGGATTCTTTACAGGGCCAACTGTGGTGCATGAAAATTAGACTCAAATTCCAAAACTTCTACAAGCATAATATCTTTGCTGCTGAAACTACAGCACCTCAATGTTTGAGTTAATCGGCCTGATTCAAGAGAAACCAAGAAACTGAGTAACTACATGACAGTATGGTTTGTGTCCTCACCTGATGGCCTGCTCCCTCTGGGCCTTGCGGACCTCGGGCTTCTGGTTCCTCTTGGCCATGATCTCAGCCAGGGAGGCCCCAGTGATGGCCCTCTGGAATTTCACTGCGCGGCGGGTACGCTTCTTTGTCACCTCTTCCTGTTAAGAAACACATCAGAGAGACCTTAGGTTATTTGTAGCCCAATTTTTAACAAAATACTCTACAGACCCACATCAGTGTCATGTCAACACATCCCTGACTCTGTTCACTGAATCACAAAAAACGATTAAGAGTATCCAACGTAACAGCAGCTTACACTGTGTTTCTTCTGGTTTAAGTCACATGAAAAACACTACAGGTGTTGAACCAATAATGCTGCTACATGACAGATGAAAATAAGAACAGGGAACTATAAAATTAAGAACTTGTTGAATGAAACCTTCCAAAGATACTAACTGCAGTCCAAAGCTCTGCGGCTATAGGGGGACTCTAAACTTTACAAAGGTCGCAAACCTTTGTTTTAACTACATTTTTCCAGGAATTACCAAAGCAAAATACAAGCAGGGTGTAGAGAGCGTCTCTTATTAAGGACTAAGCATGTGCCAAACATACATGAAACATTTTGGTATATTATGGTGAGCACTCTTCCTCTTAAAACTATCAGTGTCAATGAATTTCAAACATTTTTTAAATGCCAACACTAACCAGAGTAAAACCAGACTACGCCTGACAGTATCACTGAAATGCTGATATTTTACAAGTGTGAGCTGTGACAGAATCAAACTGCACGTAATACAGTTACAGGTGAAAAGTAGTGAGGCATGTAGGAGAGTTTGGAGGCTGGCCAATGGTAAGAGGTCAACAAAGACGTCAAAGACCAGTACTATGATCTCCTGTTGCTCTATGGCTGCAGGTGTGGAGTGAGCACTGCTGCCCGGTCTGCAAAACACAGTCAGGCAACAGCACGTAACACAGATTAAGACCATGCACACCGTCCACCCGCAGCCAAATCAATGTGTATAAATGAGTGGGAACTTGACTTGTATTCAACAACCTTAAAAAAAAACAAAACAATTCCCTGTGTACTACCCTTTATATTAGCAGTGCTTTTACACACTCATAAAATTCCTACAACAAATGCAATCAATTTGATAAACACTATCATGTTAGTTTGCCATTTTTAGTACTGTAATAAACATCATTATAAGCACGCAGTGCAAAAAAGAAGCCCAGATGCCAAATTAGTAAATCGGCCAAACTTCAGCACCAGACAATCAACAAATATTACTGAATGCAGGTATTGGCTGCTTTATCACACAGTATAATAATAATAATAATAATAAAGACCTGAAGCCATATAAATGTGAAATCAACCATCCAGTCTCTTGTATTTTGCTTCTTTTATATTGCTGCTATTATACAGTTTGCTTATTATATTACTCTTTGTTTTGTGCAGTTTACTTATTACACCGACCTGTGTTTCTTTTTATTGATACACTTATATATTGCTTTGTGTTCTGCTTTCACTATCCCGCTGCTGCTGAGGGACAACTAAAGGATTATCTTATGTGTAAATTTCAATTTACACAGACATCACCTAGTTACTATAAACACAGACAGACAAATACAGCCTGCTACTTACAGACTGGCCCTTCTTGTGCTTGCGTCTGTACAGCACAGTCCAGTTGATCTGTCTGGGGTTTCTCTTGGCCAGGAAGGCAGACTCGCACTTGGCATTCAGAAACTGGAACACCTGATGAAGACAGACAATCACATCCTTAAATAAGTAATTTGCAAATCTCTATCTAATTGACTCTCACACGCTTACTCTATAATGTGCAGTACATTGTGACATTAGACAAATTTTGCACCATTACTGACAGCTGTATTTTGTCATCTACAAAATGTGTAGTGTGAGATTATTAGTACAAAGTAATGCAGATGCCATTTGCAACGTCTATTGCTGCATTGTGGGAATTTGAGAGCACTTTAGTACATAAGTAAGAGTTCAGACCTTTATACACTAAATAGGGAGTGATTTTAGGCACAGCCATGTGGACTGGGAAAAGCAAACATTTAACTAATGGTTGAGCTTGGATTTATTGTAGTTTTCTTCACATACCATTGAAGTTAGCCATAAGGAGACTAGTGTATGCCCCTCTGACACAATTTACATATCAAGCTAGCTAATTAAAACACTAAACATTTTTAAAACATTCCCAAGCTCTTCAGTGGCTCTGTACTAACAATAACACAGCAGTCCAATGCAGTAGTGTTGCTTAAATGCCACGTACTAACAGAAGTAACAGCTAACACAGTATCTTGTTCTACAGTCTGCTTGACAGTTTATGTTAGCAGCTAATGCTAGCAAGTTTCATAGCATTCAACGGCGCCGGCTGGGCCTGGGTCAAAGACCGTTGTTTATGTCATACACATTCACATTAAGCGACAAAATACAAAGAATACAGGAGATTCAATGCGGTAAATTGTACTTCACGTCTCTACAGACAGAGCAGATGTGAGCCGGTGTCGGGTGGAGCGGTTACCTTTCCGTCTATCCTGGCGTATCGGCGGCCATGGCCGGGGTAAATTTTATACCCGCTGAAACTGCACAACTCGACCCTGAAAACGACAAATACAAGGCATCACATAAAGAAAAGGGTATACATTTACTCTTTGTGTCCATAGCATCGTTAGATAGTTTGTTTAAGTCTTAAGATGGCTTTTGATACTATTCTGTACACTCACTTCATGATGGCTACGAGAGGGCACAAAACCGGAAAGAAAGATGACGGATGCGGAAACGGACTTAGGAGACCACAAAGCGAAATTTAAGAACTAATAAAGACTAAATATTTTTTCGGTCAGTTGACGTGCTTTTGATACTTCACAAATGAAATATAAATATAAATTATTTTTGCTGTTGTAAAAATAGTTTACTCAAATTAATATTTGGCCAATCACCACAAGGTTTACGTCACAATCTGACGGTTGCCTAGGAAGCGTAACAGCAAGCGGACAGGCAGTACTTTATGGTGTAATAATTCTAATAAAGAGTTGAACTAAGCAAATTAAAAATGAAGTTAGAGAATAATTACGGTCACTGCGAGATATTATCGTCATTAACTACAGTTAGCTAGCTTTATTCTTTCTTTTATTAAACCTAGCAGGCGGAAGGAAACGATGAAAATTGTAGTCTTTTCACGCCGCAAAGACGCCGTTCCATAATAAGCTAGGCAGCGTATATGAACTACATTTCCCAGAACCTCTTTGGGTAAAACCGTTTGACAAGCGGCAGGCGCGTCTTGCCTTTCACATCACAGTCTGCAGCTAGTAGAGCTGTTAGCTAAAGGTGTTGCTTAAGGCGACAGGATGGGTGTATCGGATTTACAAGTCGATACAAATGCAGGTAAGTGGTCTCCACGGTTGTTTTGGTCAAATAGGCAAAGATAGTTCATTTTTATTTAGCGGTAGCTGTTGTGAGTGTTTATTACTTGCTAGCTAAACGTTAGCTAGCTGCATCACCTCTATAGTACTGACGTTAGCTAACTAACGTTAAGTCTCAAAGGATGCAGATAAAACCTCCCGTGTCGATGCTTTAACTTAATGCTAGACTTAATAATTGTCTTGTATCAAATTGTAGCAAAACTTTATATTAGACCAACTCATTTTATGTTGTGTTAATGTTCTGCATTCTGTGTAGGTAATGTTAGCTAGTGTAAGAATTCGATACTTGATATGACTCAGGTATTTTCTTTTGTTATTTAGATGTGATTACACAGAGGTAGCTCTGTCTACTGCACAAAAGTGATTGTTCGTTCCTTTTCCTGTTACTCTGGTGATTTAGTGTTACACTGTAATGTAGTTGGAAGATTTGCAGAGACATATTAAAACAAAAATAAATGGCTGAGATACCCTATGTTTTAGTCCCTATATCAGTCAAGCTTTAAAAACGCAGTATCCTCCAATTCCCATAATGCAGCTAAGTAGCATCATTTATTAGTCTAGTCAGTGTCCTTATATTAACTCCATGCACCCAGTTGATAACAGGGTTTCTGTAAATTATTTAACTTCTCAAGAAGCCCTGACCGCTGCAAACTGACCTTTTATGTCTAAAATTAGTGTGTCTATCTGCCCTCCAGCTTACTGCAGCTGTGTACTGTGTGTATGCGTAACTGCTTTAGGTTCCTGTGTGTAATATGGCCTTGGTGATTAGCAAAATGATAGTAGTTGTGGTGTTCTAGTCTGTTGAATCTCCTCTTCCTTTGCTCCTTCAAGGTCCTGTGGTGGATCTTTCAGCCTGCGGTATGCAAAAGCTGGACCCTAATTTCGTCTGCTCTGAGGACACTCACACTCTCATCCTGGACCGTAACCACATAATGAAGCTGGACCATCTGGAAAGGAGCCCAGGCCTTCAGCAGGTAGTTTTACTGCTTTTATTTAAAGGTATAATTTGGTGCCTAAATACTTTACTTAACATTTTCTTGATTTCAATCTTTATGTTTTTTTCTCCTTAGTTATCTGTAGCAAGTAACCGTCTGGTGAGAATGATGGGCGTGTCTCGGTTAACCCAGTTGACCGTCCTCAATCTTCCCAATAACAGTATTGGTTACATTGAGGGGCTCAGGGATCTGCCACACCTCAAATGGCTCAATTTGTCCGGGAACAATATTAAGGTGAGGAGAGAAGAGATTCAAATAAAATCATATCTCATTCATCTTGTTGCATATGTGAAACCATAAGTTTCAGCCCGTGTCTTAATATGTTTACTAACTGTACATGCTTTTACACAGGTTATTGAGCAACTCAACAACTGTGTTTCCCTTCAACACTTGGATCTGTCTGACAATAACATTTCTACCATTGGTGATTTGACTAAATTGGTGGCACTGAAGGTGAGCGCTGGAGCCTCTGAGGTCAAAAGAGAGCCTAAACCAAAATATAACAATTTAATAATGTACAGTTATTATTGCAGTTGTCTTTTGTGTATCTTTGATGAGTATTATGTCAATTTCACAGACACTGTTACTCCATGGAAACAGCATTACAACACTCCGCACTGTTCCCGCTCACCTACCTGCCCATTTATCCATTCTCTCCCTGGCAGAAAATGAGATAAGAGATCTTAATGAAGTAATTATCTCTTCCCTTACTTATTACAGCAGCACTGATCTCCATTTATATTATACAGAGGCTAATTATCATTGACCTGTTTTACTTGTATTACTCCATAGGCATCATACCTAGCACCTCTCCATGAGCTGGAGCAGCTGTCCATTATGAGCAACCCTTGTGTTATGGCAACCCCCTCATTGCCAAGTTTTGATTATCGGCCGTATGTCATGAGTTGGTGTCTGAGCCTAAAGGTCCTGGATGGCTACGTGGTGTCACAGAAAGAAGGGTGCGTACATTCCTGTGCTGTTAGTTTGCTTGTTAAGATTAATGCAGGGATACTATCCAAATGTTTGAATCTTTATTTATTGTGTATTATTGTCACAATGACAGTCTGAAAGCAGAGTGGCTCTACAGTCAGGGAAAAGGACGTTCATATCGACCAGGTCAGCATGTTCAGCTGGTTCAGTACCTTGCCACTGTGTGCCCTCTGTCGTCATCACCAGCCCTGGAAACGGCAGAAGACGCTAAATTAGAGAAGATCCTCAGTAAGCAGAGGTATGAATCTGAATTCAGCAGTAATGCTACACAACAAACAACACGCAAACTTACTACATGTTTGCAATGACTTTTTGTCTCTCAGGTTTCACCAAAAGCAGCTGTTAGAGGAGACCCGAGGAGGCTGTCCTAGTCCTCCTCGTCCAACTCAGCTAGATGTGGAGAGGCACAGTCCTACACACCCAGTCCCACAGGAGGGAGCCAGAGAGGTGAAGCACACAAGTGCACCTGCACCAGCAGCTGCTCCATCAGTGCGGGAGACAGGTAAGACCGTTTCTTTGTCTCTCTGTGGGGCGTTCTCGGAGCATTTGTTTTTATTGTTTCTCTTTACAGGTAGTTGTGATGTAGAGCTTTATATTTCAAGATGATAACTGTTTGGTGTGTCCTTTTTTGTACAGAACCAGTCGTGCAGTTTAACACCTGGGTGAGCTGTGATTCTTCCCACCCGTCACTGACGGTAGTTCGCAGCCCGAGGCCCCGAGAGGAGCACATCTATTTAGAGGATGTGCAGACCGACGAGGAGAAACTAAGTGGCAGCATGCTTTCTTCAGAATCCACGTTCCTCCCCTTCACATCCGACCTGGAGCCCCACACCGCCCACTCTGACAGCGAGGATGAGACAGAGACATTTGAACCTGACTCCCTGGCTCCGAAGCGGCCAGCACAGCCCAAAAAGCACAACGCAAACAAGACGCATCATTCACCCTCATCAGATAAGCAAGTGAAGGGTCTTGAAGAGGAAGTTATTTCTGGTGCAGCTCCGACACCTGGAGCAGTGGGCGTCAAAGTTAGCACACCACAAAATGATCTGCAAACAACCTTTGATTTTGGTAAAGCAGAGATGAGAGATGCCCCCAAGCAGGAAGAAGTTGATACATGTGCCAGTAAATCAAGTTTGATGGAGGCAGACAGGGCAGCGGTTAAAATACAGTCATGGTGGAGGGGACAGCACACACGGTGTTGTCACCCCATGGCCAGAGAGGTGCGCAGTGAGATCCGCCTGCGCAGGATGCAAGACCATATCCTCTTCTTGTCTGAAAAGTTGGACAGGTAACTGACTGATCTTCAGCACTGATGATTTTCTATTTTATTCATGATATTAAAATGGTTGCACTTCAATAGATATCACATATGGTTGTGCTAAAATGTTCAAAGATTAATAATGGTTAAAAATGGGATTTGTTTGTAGGGTGCAGCAGCAGTATGAAGAAGAGAGGTTACAAAGGCTGGTTCAGGAGGAAGCTGTAAAGTTTCTGTGGAAACAGGTCAGTGATTAAGATTGTCATTTATCATTGCAATCCATCCAATGGCAGTTGAGGTATTTCAGTCTGGACCAAGTGATGGGCTGACGGACTAATCAACCGACAGATAAACATGCTGACTTACTAAAATAATGGCCTTTAAAATTCTGTTAATAGCTTTGCAGTGTTTCACACAGCTGCCTCATTACACTTTTCCTGTGTTCTCCTTGTAGCTCCAGTCTATGCAGCAGTGGAAGCAGTCTGTGGAGCAGCAGCTGGCCAGCATTAGCCAAGCTGTCCCTCCAGCTCAGATCTCAGCTCCTGGACTATGTATAGTCACCCCGCCTGTTGCATCCAGCACGACGAACCCACCCAACACAGATGCCTCGTTCCCAGACTCTGGCTTCCAGTCAACAAGCGATCAGCAGGCAGCGCAGGAAGACAGCTTCCTGAGCAGTGGGACAGCAGACTCTCTAAAGACGGTGCGAGCACTGAGCCCTGTTCGTAGCGGCTTTGCAGGCAGCGCTGACGGTGTGGACAGTGCAGACTGCAGCCTGCTGGAACAGTACCTTTCCTCTGTGCAGCAGAGGGAGGAGGAGGCTGAGGAGGCGGTCAGTGATAGAACAGAAACACCACAGCCCTCCTCACCAGTATCACCCAGCAAAACAGCACAGTCCACCCCTAACTCCACCCCACAGAAGGCAGCAGACAACCAAGCAGAAGTGCAAAGAACGGACGACACCACTCCCGGCCCTGTCTGAGAGCCTACAAATAATACACACCTGTGCAGAACTGCTGAGTGTGTGTACGTTTGCACTGACTGTAAATAGAGATGCGTTGCTCCCTCCTGAGACTGTCTGACAAAAGCACTCATCTCAAACTGACCCAGATCTCAAATGGCAGTGTGCTTAGTTTCTATTCATCAAGACTGATCCCAGGACAGGCTTGACAGCAACACCTTACTGTGAATGTAACTCATGTTTTTTATACTTCACTACTTGATTCTGTTATTTAACATTTTCCTATCTGTGTAAAGACAATAACTGTGGTGTAGCATCATAACATATTAGTAACTTTAAAGCAATTACTTCACGATAGTTTGCTACCTCTACCGATCAAAAGACCAAGCACGGTATATCCTATTTTCTTTATCAATATCTCCTGCATTAAACACGTGATAAACTACAGTTAATCAGATTAGAAGTTGATGTGTTAAACGTAGTGCACTTGTAACCACGGATATATTCTACACATGAACCAATAACCACACTATTTATTAGCACATACTGTGTTAACAGCTGAACTGTTTTATTAACTTAAGCTCACTCATCTAAGAATGTTGTAGCACCTTTATCTTAAAAATTGTAAATAAATCTGTTTTGTTATTTGGTTTCATATTATGTTCAAATGATGGTTTGTATTTTTTTATTTATTTAATAATATTTAATTTAATCAGGCAGTTTAATTGAAAAAAAGATCTATTTTTCAAGAGAGACTTGAGAACAAGAAAGCCTCAAAAGAGCACAATCAGCAAAACAGAAACAACACAACAAACAGGAAGTGAAGAAAAAACATTTACAAGTATCATAAAAACATCAGCTTTAATAAAGCTAAAGGGGACGTAAGATTCTAGTTTGAGGCCAGTTTGTAGTTCATTTCATCTTAAAAGGTGCATAGGAATGTCAAAGGTTGAACAGTCCCTGGATCTTGTACTTTAGTTACTAGATTTAAATGAGAGAAGAGACTGGTCATTTCCGTCCTGACCAGTCAAACATCCTCCTATAAAGAAGGTATTAATCACCAGAAATAGAGTAACTACAAGTTGCAGTGGTGAAGCATTTTGGTAGGTGGCCTGATTGATACTCATGAGTTGAAGAAGTGTTCAAATAGTTTCTCAATAATGACAGTTTGGTCAGAAACATGCACACCAGTAGCCTGCTGGAGGTCATTTTGTAGGGCTCTGGCAGTGTTCCTCCTGTTCCTCCTCCCACAAAGGAGCAGATACCGGTCCTTCTGCTGGGTTGATGTCCTTCTATGGCCTTGAGACTGTGCTGGATGACACAGCAAACCTTCTTCCACCCACATGTATGGATGTACCATCCTGGAGGAGCTGGACTACCTGTGCAACCTGACCGGGCTGCAGGTACCAGTAGTGACAAGGACACTAGCAGAACACACAACTAGAGAAGAATCAGTCGGTAAGGATAAGGAGGGAGCAACTGTCTGTGGCCATCACACGTAAAACCATTCCCTATTTTGGGTCTTGTTTTTGCCCCTCCACTGCACCTGTTTGCACTTTCATTTGCACCAAAGCAGCTGAACTGATTCACAATCACATGTGCTTCCTAAATGGACATATTGATATCTCTGAAGTTTAACTGACTTGGTGTTATACTGTGATGATTAAGAACAAGAATCAAATAAAACGTCTATGTACAAGTGTGTTTGTGACTTGTAAAGCATATAAATAGTGCACAGAAATAAATACTGTATGGATATAACGTTACATGTACTGGATGATTATGTACAGTCACATGTAGGCTACAAATACCACATTGTATATAGGGTGCAGCTTGCAGGATGTTATTACGTTTAAATATTAGAATTCTTCTTTATGTGTTTTCCTTACGAGCTTCCGTACTTTTACTTTTTACATGTTACAGCTTTTATACACTCAAGTTGTACATTACTGACCAGCAGAGGACGCTGCACCTTCAACCACCCATAAACCCAGACATAAACCCACCGCCCACCGGGTCCTGTTTTCCTCCCATCATCACTCCTCCAGTCTACTACACCGCCTCCGATGTGGCAGCCAAGCCGCCTCTGTGTCGTCTCCTCGGGGCAGCCGTTAGCTTCATCACCCTGCGGTCCGACATCATGCTAATCCGTCGACGTAATGTGTGAGTAACGTTATGGGGCTGCATCACCGGTGTTAACGTTAGCTAACAAAGGGACGGTGTTTTAAATGGTAGTAGACATGTTTGTTGTAATTTCTATGTATGTTTTAAATATTATTAACCGTCCGTTTCTTTGTCGTCACCGTTCATGTGATATGTTAATATAAACATCGGACCGTTAGTGATGGAAAATTGGACTGAGGAGGATTGTTTACTGTCATCAGAGCTATTTTTAAAAGCAACGTAATGGCTATATGACAGTCAGTATGTCTGTTAACATAATGAATATGCATCGATAACATTTAGGTTAAACAGCAGGCTCAATAACCTTGATTTAAAGTAGTGTTTGTGCATATGTAGGGTTTAAACTGCAACGGCTAGTCGATTAACTGATAGGTTGAATGACAGGAAATTATTTGCAACAATTTTGATAGATTAAGTTGTTGTTTTTTTTTGGGGGGGGGGAAATGTCCATAAATCATAAATATTTGCTGTTTAAAAGATCAAATGTAGGTTTTTGACTCTGGGTCAAAAACCAGAATATCAATATTAATTTGGGCTTCAGGGAATGTGATCCATTTTTCACTGTTTTCTGGCATCTTGTAGCCCAAATGATAGATTAATGGGATGCAGGCGAGTAATTATGATATCCTCCTGAGACCTGAGCTTTTGTTTGGCACACATTTTTAATTTCTCCAAGCTATGTGGCATCAGTAGGATCTGATAACTACTTGAACTAAATGATGTCCTCATATGAAGACATACAGTTTATTTTTAATACTTACAAGTGTGTACTAAAGTATAAAACTGTTTATTTCAGTGCCCTTACACTGTTCCTTTCAATGGCTGTGCAAAAACTTAACTGTGTTGTTGTATTTTGTAACTCCATACAAATTTTCCCTGCTCCATACTCCAAGCTAGGAATGTCTTTTTTGTCTGTAAGAACAATCAGTCACACTTCATGGCTTGTGTAATATGCTGCCATAATAAAGCTCCAATGTCCTCAAACAAATACTTCCTAATTAACAGCGTCTCCGATTGTTACTGTTCCAAAACTGGTCAGATTGGTTTAGCATAAATAAACAAGTTTCATTCATAAAATGCCATCAGGTTTTGCACCTTGTCCATTTTTGTGACGGGGTCGGCTGCAGACTGACTTGGCAGAGATGGCTACCATCTTGTTTTAACATGGATTAGTGTATCAGTGTATTGTGCTCATAGTACCACTAGCGCAAAAAAGTGTCCACCAACGAGGACAACAGGTCTAAGATAAGCAGAATTAATTAAATGGTGCAGTAAAGCCTAAATGTGGCTCTCCAGTGGCATAATGGGCCCCATTGCATGCTATTGTGATGGGCCCTGGTGCACGCTAGTAACTAGTTATAAGGCGCACACACACACACCACTGCCAACTGGTTATGAAAAGCCAAACGAATTTAATCGAGGGAGTTCTGCTACTTTTTCTTCTGGGTCATTTTTCTCTTGTTCTTTCTGACTGCCGCTTTCATGTTTAAAAGGCATGACTGCTCGTCGGACCTGTAGATATGCTCAGTTTATTAGTCCTGACAGATTTTGCACCTGAACTAGCTATCGTATCATCGTCTTTTCACATGATCAAATAGAGACTAGACATTTGGCAACATGATCAACATACATGTTATCCAACAATCATCACTGCGTACCTGTATATGGCAAGAAAATAAGGAATTATTCATGTAACTTTATCATGACAGAGTTGGGTTTGCAAATGGCTCCATTCTTGAGTTCTTCTTTGAACACAGGTGTATTTCCAAGGTGGCAATCTGAATCATCACCACCCCATGGGCCCCAGTGCACTGCCAGCAGGCATAACAAGGCCATGACGGTCTTTCTTCACTGCTGTGGCATATATATCATAGGTTACTCAAAGGGGTTTTGAACTATTCTCCTCTACAATATGAAAGAAAAAAGATACTGGCTATCAGGGTGCAGTGTAATAGAAACAGAGGCTGAACACAAGTGCACCACTGAATTTAGAATTGAGAGGTAATGAGACTAAAATGGAGCTGACATCAGGCACAGTGGGTGTTACAGGAACAATCACATTAATTGCTTGAAGGTATTGCATGAAGCACTGGAGCTAAAACACCCTGTTCAAGAAGAGAACCACTGATGGCTTAATGTTTTTTACCACTTTCTGCGTCAGCATCTGTAGTTTGTTTTCAAGTCACTGTTTGTGGAGGAAGTGAGTGATTCTTACACATTACGACCGCTAACTCTGAAGGAGGTGAATGAAGCAATAAGAATGAGGTAACACGGGTCTGGTGCAGGAGGACTCAGTGCTGGAGTGGTAGAGTAGTTATAGGCTGTGTGTGTCTGTATCTGTGTCCAGGTGCCATGGCAGTCTCTTCACCAAGACAGTGATAGAAAGGAGTTGGTGATGGAAAACAGTTCTTTTTGCTCATCAGTCAGAGTCCATTCCCAAAACACATGTGAGTGGGCGAAGGTAAGGAAGAGAGGAAATAGTGTGGTTATCTACTGCAAGAGAGAGACTGCAACAAAATTGCTTTTAACGAGGAAGACAAATGATTGAACAGGCCACCAGGATACAGCTGATTTCTGCAGGAACAAGTGATCAGGAAGGTGTAAATATTTTTGCTTCTGTCTGTAACTTGCCGTGCTTCCTCATATGTGCGAGTGTGTGTCTGACCTGCGGCTGTGGGGAGTGCAGTATAGTATTTTAGGGAACATGGACTAAACCACCAAGCTGTGTGTAGACTAGTTCCCTCTCAACCAGATACAACAGAAAAATGCTGCTCACACATTAATGCATCAGTATTAACAACACACTATAATTTCATGTATAATTACAATCATGATGATACTGATGTCATTTTTCTTAAAGGGACAGTTCATTCCAAAATTAGAAATACATATTTTTCCTCTTACCTGTAGTGCTGTTTATCAGTCTGGATTGTTGGTGTAAGTTGCTGAGCGTTGGAGATATCAGCCGTACACATACATTTGAAAAACTCAACAATAGTTTGTCTTACAAGAAATCATGACCTGGTCACTCAAGATAATCCAGAGAGCTTGCTGTGAGCAGTTTCATGTGGGAACTATTTTCTTTGTACCGAACTACACCCACCAACTCGATCACCGTGCAGGGAGAAGTGTCTTCCGCTAGTTCACGTAGCACCACTGAGCTAGCTGAGGTTTTACATTAATTAGTTAATATTTACATCTCGTGAGCACAAGCCTCTCGTCCAGGAGTAGATGCACGCTTCCTTCTGCGTGGTGATTCATTTTGCGGGTGTAGTTTGAAAGAAAATTGTTCTTACATGAAACTGTTCACAAGGTCAACTGGGTCATGATTTCTAGAAAGAGACGATGCTGTTGAGTTTTTCAAATATGTTTTGAGCACCACAAGCTGAGTGCCATCTAGTTCCATTGTATTAAAAAGAAGGCAGACATCTCTACGGCCGATTTCTCCAACACTCGGAAACTCACAACAAAATAATCTAGACTGATAATAGCACTACGAATACAAGGAATAATATGTATTTCTTGCATAGGGGTGAACTGTCCCTTTAAATAAATTTGGATGCTATACATTTACACTCGTGAAACAACATCACCCTCATGTCCAAACTAACAATAAATTCCTTTTCTAAAGATGGACATTTGCAGTCTCTGCATACAACTGAATATCAATTATAAAAAATACAACCTCTTTTAACCAGAAAAGAGGGCAAAACTACACAAAAACTACAAAAAATTACTAACGATAACTAAAAAGAGCCGTGGAAAATGCAGCCTTTGCAACTTTAACAGCAGAATAAAGCATGATCATGACAGACAACACAGAGATGTCAAGACAGTATGATTTTTGTGCTTCTTTATAAACAGTTGTCTGTTTGTGCCTCCTTCTCGTTGACAGAGTTCATTCGCCAGGATCGGTTGCTGATGACGAAATGATGCCATCATCGCAGATGTGACAGATTAGAGTGACACAGGGCCTGATCATGGGAGACAGAAGAAGGTCACCATGTGCCGAAATCTGTCCAAATATGCCCTCATCTTTCTCTTCTTAGCCCTGTCTGGCCTCATCTTCCTGCTGCGCAACATCCACACTGTGGAGGTGAGCAGAAAACTGGGCTACACGTGGGAGTCCTCAGTTAACTTGAAGGGGAATGGATGGATGATCATTTACCCTTTTATGTTTTAACAGCATTTTATCGATCTTTTTAATAACACTGAAGCTCATGGGGACAGTTAAAGCACAGAACCTCAACAGTATTTTGCTCCTTTATACATTTGTATCTGCCAGTCATAGGTTGATGTTCATTTCTCATGCAGCACCTTTTAAATCTCCCTTTCTCTTCAGAACTGGAACTGCCACACCGTCTCAGCCCTCTACCAGCTCCAGAGCAGGATCCAATCATCCTTCGTCCCAGAGAATCTCCCCACTTTCCATCACAACCGCACCTTCTGTGCCCATCTGGGCCAGAAACCCTCCCCTGAAGATGAGCTGGAAGAGCGCTACCTTTTGGACTCTATTGCCTGGCCTGGGCCTCCGCCTCGCTCTGCGCCAACCTCCCTGCGCCAGACGAGCGACCCCGTCCACAGCCTGTTCGCCATCCTTCCCACTAAGGGAGGAAGGGAGTGGCATTTGGGCGACCAGCTGGAGGTACTCGTCCAAATGCATGACTTCCAGGGGCGCCCCAAACGCTACGGTGGGGATTTCCTTTTGGCCAGACTGCACTCCCCGGAGGTTGGAGCAGGTGTAGCAGGTAAAGTGCTGGACCACAGGAATGGATTTTACTCCACTATGTTCCCGCTCCTCTGGGAGGGGACGGCACATGTTGAGATAACACTGGTGCACTCGAGCGAGGCTGTTGCTGTGCTGCGACGGCTGAGGGAGGAACGGCCTGATAGAGTGTTTTTTAAGAGCCTGTTTCGCCTGGGCTTCCTGTCTGAAACTACTGTGTGCAACATGTGCCTCCCCCCTGACCAGCAGCCTCTGTGCAACTACACAGACCTTTACACAGGAGAGCCCTGGTACTGCTACAAGCCGAAGATGCTCAGCTGTGACACCAGAATCAACCACGCCAAAGGAGGCTATCTGAAACACCTCATCACCAACAAAGAAGCATTGCTCTTCCAGAGGTTTGTAGGGAAACATTTCATAATATGACATACAGTATATTTGTGTCCGGTGTGTAAGATTCATGGGGATTTAGTGGTACTTAGTGGTGAGGATTGCAGATTGCAACCAGCTTAAACTTCTTCTGGTTAGAGTTCCTTCAGTGGTCTTTGTTCAGGAGGTTTTACAGAGAGCTGAATTATCTGCAGAGGTCTCCTCAACTCCAAAAACAAAAGGACAAGGTAATTAAAACCAGTAAAAACACTGGATTTTTCCTACCCTGTTTACCCCCCCCCCTTCCCCTCTTAATTCACTCCATTAAAACTCCTGCCATTTACCTGCAAGAATGGCAAGAGCTCGACCGGATTCATTACAGGCTGAATAATGAGGAATTACAGCACATTACAGAATCAGAGCTCAGAATCAGTCGGACACCCCTCAGTTCTCTCAGACTGACATTCTTCAGATTGAGCAGTCATTATTTTTCAGTCAGTGTGCAGTGTTCTTCAGGGGATGTTTTGGTTCCAACTTGTAGCTTAGAGTGAGTGCTCCTCACTGTTACGCTGCTCTGTGGTACAGGCAGTTGCAGACCTAGACCCAGGGTGAGTCTGTGTGAGATGGAGGCAGCTTCCCAGAGGAGGGGTGGGCTCCGAGATAACATTATCTTCTGCCTTATGGTTCGAAGTGCTGGATTTACAGCTCACAGCAACGATACTGCCTCTGACGTACTTTTAATAACTAGTGCCGGCCAAAAATGTTGCACCTTTACGATCCATCGTTGGTGTAGTTAGCACGCATTAGCTCTGAGGGCTAACTGTCACCCTGAAATCCGATTTGACTGACTTCATTCTGAGTCAGGTACAAGAAAGCGGAAAGTGTTAAGACTGTTGGTTTGGGTCTTTTTTCATGGGGTTTGTTCACAGTAACAAAAATATAGAATATGACCAGACTCAACCTTTGACAGTGTTTTAACACTAAATTCTGTTTCTTTTATCGTAGTGGTGTAAACATTAAAGTTCACATACACGCTTCAGGACCCGACAGAATCATCGTGCTGCCTCCCAGGAAAGGTACAGTATACCTACAGAGAAACTTTTGTGCGTCATGTTACATGATTTGATTTATTCCATTAATTTAATTTTGTCTGCAACATTTCTCGCTTTGTATCAGATAAAGTAGAGGTAGAAAACAGCAGTATAAAACCAGAACCTATTAAGCTAGAACCATCTGGATATTACTACGAGGACACATGGAGGCCATTAAATGGCGTTACAATGCGCCAGTTCAATGAATCATCTGCCACCACTCAGTGTTTGAAGAACAAGGTGATCAACATGTACGGAGACTCGACCGTCAGGCAGTGGTTTGAGTACCTCATTGCTTTAGTACCAGGTGAGTGATGCCTTTTTGTCTCATCTTTTATCTTTACACTCTGCCTTGTGTATCTTTCCCACTGCAAATTCCATTCATTTCACTTTCCCCAGGTTTAAAGGAGTTCAACCTGCACAGTCCTAAAAACGTCGGGCCTTTCATGGCGGTGGACAGCACCCATAATATTCTCTTGAAGTACCGCTGCCATGGCCCACCCATCCGCTTCTCCACTGTCATGTCCAGAGAGCTGCGGTACATTTCAAATGAGCTGGACAACCTCTCTGGGGGTCCTAACACCATCGTCGTCCTCAGCATCTGGGCCCATTTCAGCACCTTTCCTGTGGAGGTGTACATACGGCGGCTCCGTCACATTAGACGCTCGCTGGTGCAGCTTCTGGACCGAGCGCCTGGGACGATCGTTGTGATCCGCTCGGGCAACCTCCAAGCCCTGGACCAAGAGGTGAGCCTGTACAACAGCGACTGGTACTCCCTACAGCTCGATATGGTGCTGCGGTCCATGTTCAAAGGACTGAACGTGCTGCTGGTGGACGCCTGGCAAATGAGTTCAGCTCACCACCTTCCTCACGCCCTCCATCCTCCTCAAGTCATTGTCAAGAACATGATAGACATGCTTTTGTCTTACGTTTGCCCAGAAAAGACAAAGAGCAAAGACAACTGATGTAGAGGAACAGTGACGATAATGGATCTTGTTGAAGGACACTGAGATTGATGTGTCAATTCGCCAACCGGTTCTTCAGCTCACGACAGTAAGGCTTCTTTTTAGCGCTCTTCAAAGCTACACACCCTTTAAATACTGAGAGACTTCTAATGTAGGACTGATCTTTGTTTACTTGCCTGTTAAATTTAATTATCAATCCAACAAAACTAAATTTATTCTGGAAAAAGCCAAAGACTTTGGCACAGTGTTACGCCCCACCCTTGGGCGGCCCTATGGGCTGAACAAAGCTCCACTACTGACCCAAAATACCCACATCCCTTAAATCAAATCCATGGGAGTTATTAACAAAAATCCTGCATAGAGGACAGTAAAATCCCAGGCTGAGAGGCAGCAGGACCAGCAGTCCTCATGCCAGAGGCCTCTCTCCTCTGCTGCTGGCACAGAAGCTCTTAAGCACCTCCTCCCCATGCCAGATGCAGTGCACCTCATTAGGCAATGCAGCACACCTGGGCAGATCTGCAATAGAGGGATAGGGGACAGCAGCACAGAACACACACAGCGGCAACACCCCCACCCTTAAAACAATGAATAAATAGGTTGTCACACTGTCGCTCAGTCACACACAAGTACTGAGGCAGTTAAACACAGAACAACTGTAACAAACCATAGTTCAGTGACAAATACTATTTATTCATTGAAATTAAGTGTACTTAACAATAAGGAAATGAGTGCTGCTTACAGAGGCTTTATGTTAAAGGTAAACACAGATCAAAAGCACTCAGAAAAACACCTCAGTAACTCTGAGTATGTAGATTAATCTAGTTTGCGCTCAAATCTGAAACAATGATGCTCAGTTTCCCCAACACTACATGCAAGCATCTCTTCAATACAAAGCAAATGGTGTAATTAAGTCACAACAGATTGGGACTGCTGCTGACAGAAGGTGTCAACTTGGGTCAAATTTGGATCAAACAAGATCTTATTATACAAAGGGCCAACTAAGTCAACCAGCCAAATCAATGGATGCCACTCCCACAAGGTACAAAATGGTTACCACCATGAGGTAAAAAAAAAGAAAGAAACCACCACAACACTAAACACTGACTTCATCTACCAACGCTAAAAACAAGTGCAACAGCCACAAACCAAAAAGATCATAACTAGTAGACCAACAGCAGCACACCAAGATCCAACAAAAGTGAACTGCTACTACTACAACACAAAATGGACACCATGTTGTCTCCAGCCACATACACAAGTTACTGTAATGGATGTAGGAAACCAGCAACATAAATGAACCTGATGAATTGGGAAGCCACACCCACCACTACAAGATCTAATGATCTGTGGGGTGACTACATCCCAAACCCAAAAAAGGTCACAACTAATTTGCTACAACAAATACCCAACAGCAGTAACACACAAGTGACCACACCAAATAGTGGAAAATCACAAATGGTCACGATGTCGTTAACCACTACACAGATGTTGCGAACTTACACCTAAAGCGGGATTCATACTTGTGCGTCAGCTCTATGCAGAGCCTTATGCCGTAGCCTACGCACGTGGCCTACACTGTTGTGAGCATTTGTACTTGTACAGTGGTGTGTCTGTGTCACTCTGCAGTTACACCTCCATAACACTAGTCAGCGGCATAGCTTCTATGAAGTGCTGTAGAGTTTAGTTGATTCAAAACACACATTAGATATGGCTTAATAGCTACAGCTTCAAAAACAAGTACACAAATCAGCTTCAATATAACCTGCAGCATTCACAGACAAAACATTTGTCTCTTGCTGGACACATTTTCCCCACATGCTAATGTTTTTAGCACAAGCCTATGGCATTTTACATTGTATGAATTAGCCTAGCGACAAGTGGAGATTTCCTCTATTCATATGAAACCAGGATAAATCATACACAACTTAAAATGCTATTTTGTGGAGGCTTTACTGTCTTTACAAGTTATTGTTTCTTATCTGTGAAATTAAAGTAAATAAAAGCTTTGCTTCCTCCAAGGGAAATGGTTTCATCTCACAAAAATAGACAGGAGCTCTGCGTCGCCGTGACGTGTAGTTAAATTTCGGAGGAGGTGTACGTCAGACCACGGCATAGGGTATGGTGTGGGCCTATGCTGTAGGTACGGCGTCAGTTTGACATAGAGGTATAAATCCTGCTTACACAGCAGCCCACAAGGGACCAAACAAAAAGAAATCACAACTAAGTTGCTAAAGTGCAAAACTAGGAAAACTGACCTGCCTACCAACATGGCAAGCTAACCCTAGGTAGTCTTCAGTGGCCTGTCAAGCTCGAGGTGGCTTTAAACTCTGAATTTACTGCATCACAGGAGACCAAAGAAATAGCCAACTGTAATACACTGAAGCGTGCCCCCACTCAGGATTGCCACCAGAAAAAATAAGGCAAAATAACAAAGTGGCAAGCTCTTTAAACCTACCCAATGGCTACCTAGTCAGTCAGTTAAAAATTGAAACCACAACTGGTCTGACAAAAGGGATGATCTCTACACTCAAACAAAGGCCACAAGTTACAAATGTTCAGCCCCAGGTGAGCCCCCATTTGTTGCGACCCACCCTTGGGTGGCCCTAAGGTCAACAAAACACTCCAACACTGGCCCAAAATAACCACATAAGACACCTTTAAAACAGTCAAATCCATGACAACAAACCATGCAGACAAGACAGTAAAATCCCAGGCTGAGAGGCAGCAGGACCAGCAGTTCCCAAGCCAGAGGCGTCTCTCCTCTTTGTGCAGTGCACCTCGTTAGGTAATGCAGCACACCTGGGCAGATCTACAGAGGGAAAAGGGACTCCTACAGCCGTAACACACAGTGATTGTTACTTTCCATCTGCTGTTGTTACCAAAGTCTTTTCTATGTGTGTGAGTGTATGCAGTATTTTTACATAAGTTGCCATGAATCTGTTCTTTCAGTTTAACCTTTATATTTGTTAATGTTTGTTTGTTAGTTTTGCCAAAGCTGACGTCTCAGTGAGTTCTGATTCCTAAGATTTTCCCTCAGGCTGCTCAGTGTTGAAAACGTGTTCTTACGCTCCGATGCCATGTTGCACCACGTTGACCACACTCTGTTCTTTGTGTCTGATTACTTAAAATGATGACATGCAGCTTTCTTGGGTTAATTGTTTTGCAAAAAAAAAACAAACATAAACTACATTTACCATTAAATCTCATCTATATGTGTGTGAAATTTGTTTTATAGTTTTAAGTTATATTTTAGGTGCATATAGTCCTCATGGTGGACATCACTGTAAATCATTATAGCAAACAAAAGGTGAAAATGGTTGCATTTATTATCCAAAGCGCTTTACAATTCTTTTGTTGTCTAAATAAGGTAGATATATTCTTTTTCCTATTAAAAAAAAACAAAGACTTATACAGAAGTAATCAATCTCAGTCATCACTTATGACCCACAAAAAGTGTGTGGTGTATTTTTCTGCAGAGACTCTGCCCCCTGCCTGTATTTTTAAATTTTCTTGTTATTTGATGGGCATGTACCCCCACAGCCGTCAGGTGAGGTCAGGGCTTTACAAAAGTCAGCAACCAGGTGCCAGACTGTAAGCAGCACACATCCAAGATACACACTGCTGTAAAAAAAAATGCAAATACAGTGAGGTGAAACACCAACCGAGAGTGGATCTACGGTTGGCTTTGACTTTGACTTTCACTTGCGAGCCTGTTTACAAACAGTAACTGACAGTCCTGCAGACACATCTTCAATAGATTATATTGTAATTATAATATAATAGTAATTTAAAAGACAAAACCTGCAACTCAGCTTTTCGTCACTTTAAGTTTTGGCTGTGTTCGTTTTACTTCCAATCCCTTCACAATGGCTGCGACTGTCCTCCAACTATCCACATTCAGAGCAGCCACACCCTTGAATTTGTTTACAATTGGGTCCTAATAAAATGTTAACGGGTGATTCATATGAAAATTCAATCAATCAATCAATCAATTTTATTTATACAGCCCAATATCACAAATCACAATTTGCCTCACAGGGCTTTACAGCATACGGCATCCCTCTGTTCTTAGGACCCTCACAGCAGATGAGGAAAAACTCCCCAAAAAAAACCTTTAACAGGGGAAAAAAACGGTAGAAACCTCAGGAAGAGCAACTGAGGAGGGATCCCTCCTCCAGGACGGACAGACGTGCAATAGATGTCAGCCTCAGAAGCTGCAGCTTGGGTACTAATGTATAGAGTGCTCCAGGAACTAGTAAAGGGTTAGCATTTTAGCACTCCTGGTTCCTTTGTCTTGAAGTCCATGGAATGTTTGAGTGGGTTTTTGGTTAGATACCTGGAATAAGGTCTGTGGTTAACACATTTTGTTCTACGACAAAAAAATATGTCAGTACATACCCAACTCATTAATTTATAAGGTTTTATGTGTCCTCAAAATGGCAGTGGCTAACAAGTGGCTAAATGAGACTACAAAGCGTCATCACACCTAACGTGGCTTTACAGCCTCGTTGTGATGGTGAGGCTGAAGTCATGTGACTGTGGTGTAGTTTGTTTGTAGCCTAATGTTAATTTTGTACTTCTGGCAAGTGCATTTACGATTGAAAAATAATAAATGCAGTGCTCATTTGTGAAGATTATCTTGGTGAACACAACATGTAAGCTTTGGTTTGCCACAGGGCTTATATTCTGCAGCGATCCAAAATCCAATGGAAAGATACCATCGGCTTTTTGAGAAGGGAACCAGGTGACCCTAACTTCTGTGATGGCCTACCAAAAAAACATCATCCCTGCAGCACTGTATTGCAAAAGATCCTTTAACGTCACTGAAACGAGTCTGCAGGTGTTTCTGGTGATTTGTAAAAGGCAGAATAACGCTAAACCTTCAACTTGTGGGCGATCTGTTATAGTTTAGGCTGAAAGTGTTCAAGGGCAGGTGCGTACCATTTACTTACCCCGCTTTTGTCCTGTTGTTACAGATATATATAAGGACAGACCGACTGTTAATGAGATCACTGCATCCTCCTTTTCCCCCCAGACAATTTCTCACTTGACTTCGCACTTCAGGTTAAGAAAAACCTGCTTCTTTTTGGTTTTGGCTGAGAACCAACTTTTCAGGTTCTAAACCAATTTCTTTTTGGTCAACATTCTGAACAGTTTCTAAATTAAGTGCAGGAACTGCAATGAAACCGATTCCATGGTGGTGTTAAAGAGGCATAAGTGGCCTCTGTGTGACATATGCTGTTACCAAAGGCTGGAAGTGAATGAAGGGGAAGTGGAAGAGGGCCATGTAATGAATTGCAGCCATTGTATCAGCTGATCTCTCGCTGGTGACGTCTGTAACACACTGTTCCACACAGCATTCATGATCAAAAACTGTGTGTTGTCACGTGTTCATCATGGGGAGACAGTGAGGACTGGAGGTGTCTGGTCTGTGTGATACAAAGAGAAAATGTGCCTGTGTTCTGTCTTGTCCTGTTTGTCCCCAACGGTGATCAGAGGCTGACTAATAAGAGACTTTGTCATGACTAATAAGAGCAGAGCTGCTGTCAGTATTTGCTTTTGTCAAATGTGTGCTTTTTTAACTTTTAAAAGGAGCAAAGTCGTGACTGTATTTGTGTCATTTGCCTACCCAAAGTGGAGATAATATTATGTCAAGTAGTAAAAGCAGGTTTGAGATGGAGCTGAATGATATATCCATACAGTATTTATATCACTAAGACGATCGTCAGGATCTGTAAGGATCATGCTGGTGATGCATCTTTTAATATGTCTTCCCCGGTTAATTTTTTTTCTGCATTAAACAGGTAAAAGTGTAGCTAAGAAGGCAGCATCAAAACCCTGTTACTACAATGAATACACACAATATAAACAGGCTAATACAACTGTCACACAATAGAAAAAATAGATCAGTTATTCCCCAGATGCTTTGCTGCGCTGCCCCCTCAAAGAAAATAAAAACAGCAACCCTCATTTGTCAGCGACTGGCGTGCTTTCACCTCATATCACCTTCCTCCCATATATTCATGTTGACGACAGGCTGAAACATGATGAACACTAAT